CTACAACCAAAAAATAGCCAGGCGTTGTGGCGGGCACCTGTAGTCCCAGCTACTTGGGAGTCTGAGGCAAGAGAATCACTTAAAGCCAGGAGTTGGAGGTTGCTGTGAGTTGTGATGCCACAGCATTCCACCCAGGGTGACAGCTTGAGGCTCTGCCTCAAAAGAAAAAAGAAAAAGAAAAAGAAATGGATGGCACCTGTAGCTCAAGTGGCTAAGGCGCCAGCCACATACACCAGAGAGGGCAGGTTCGAATCCAGCCCAGGCCTGCCAAACAGTGACAACTACAACCAAAAAATAGCCGGGCATTTTGGCGGGCGCATGTAGTCCCAGCTACTTGGGAGGCTGAGGCAAGAGAATTGCCTGAACTCACAGGTTGAAGACCAGCCTGAGCAACAGCAAGACCTCACCTCTAAAAATAGCCAGATGTTGTGGCAGGCGCCTGTAGTCCCAGCTACTTGGGAGGCTGAGGCAAAAGGATCACTTGAGCCCAAGAGTTTGAGGTTGCTGTGAGCTATGACACCACAGCACTCTACCGAAGGCAACAAAGTGAGACTCTGTCTCAAAAAAAGGAAATTAAGCATTACTAATATTCAACATACGCATATCCAAGAAGAGTGGAAAACCCAAACCAGGAGTGGCTGAAGGCAGCACCTCACTTATTCCTGTTTTTGTTTTTGTTTTTTTCATCTTCTATGTATTTTTTTTTTAATAAACAAGAGTCTCACTTTGTCACCCTCAGTAGAGTGCCATGGCATCACAGCTCACAGCAACCTCCAGCTCTTAGGATTAGGCGATTCTCTTGCCTCAGCCTCCTGAGTAGCTGGGACCTCAGGCGCCCACCACAATGCCTGGCTATTTTTTTGTTGCAGTTTGGCTGGGGCTGGGTTCGAACCTTCCACCCTCGGTATATGGGGCCAATGCCCCACTCACTGAGCCACAGGCACCACCCCATCTTCTATGTATTTTAATTAACTTTGCTAGTTACATGCATTTATGGACATTGTATTATCTTTTATAACAAAAGGAATCCTCACAAAATGAACACATGGCTAAAAGGATGCACACACACAGATAATATCAATCATAGCACAACCAAATAAGAAAATGGCAGAAAGCCAGGCATGGTGGCTCACGCCTGTAATCCTAGCACTCTGGGAGGCCAAGGTGCTTAGTTGTTGGAAACCAGCCTGAGTAAGATCCTGTCTCTACTAAAAATTGAAAAATTAGCCAATCGCTGTGGTGCACACCTGTTGTCCAAGCTATTCAGAAGACTGATGCAAGAGGATCCCTTAAGCCCAAGAGTTTGAGGTTGCTGTGAGCTATGATGAAGCCAGGGCACTCTAGCCTAGGGCAACAGAATGAAATTCTGTCTCAAAATAAATAAATAAAGAAGAAAACAAAAGAAAATGGCAGAGCCCACACTTGGGTACCTAGGAGGAGTTGTCAGCTAAAGAAGTATCAAAAAAAGTTCAATGTTATTCAAAAAGCTAGAAATTATTGAGAACATTGAACTATGGATTTACAGTCAAGTGATCCTGCCTTAAAGTACTCATTATGCTGTGAAAAGTTGACAGTATAAAGCCAACACAATTAGCAGATGTTTATTCCATCCCTTATCACGTCTGTTTTAAAAATCTGTTTTTGTGGAACACATTATTCATAGTAAAGCATCACAAAAATGGAGAAGCAAGAATCCTATGTACTCAATTCTAATAGGAGGATAATAATGACTTAGTACACGGTGGGGGGCAGGAGGAGGGGAAGAGCAGAAAGAGGAAGCGGGAGAGAGGGGTGGAGAGTCACGGTGTGTAATATATCTTTTGGGGGTGAGACACATAAGAGGGACTTTACCTAAACAAATGCAATCAGTGTAACCTGGTTCGTTATACCCTCAATGAATCCCCAACAATAAAAAAAAATAAAATAAAGGCTCAGTGCCCGTAGCACAGTGGTTATGACTCCAGCCACATACTCCGAAGCTGGAGGGTTCAAACCCAGCTCTGACCAGCTAAACAATGACAACTGCAACAAAAAAATGGCTGGGTGTTGTGGCAGATGCCTGTAGTCCCAGCCACTCAGGAGGCTGAGGCAAGAGAATAGCTTAAGCCCAAGAGTTTGAGGTTGCTGTGAGTTGTGATGCCACCGCACTCTACCAAGGGTGACATAGTGAAACTCCGTCTCTAGACAATAAAAAAATAAATTAAAGAATAAAAGAATGCCATGTATTTAAAAGAGCTTTAAAAACCTGTTTTTTACTTTAATATTTTAACACGTGTACACTTTATGTACAAGTTCAACTTTTTCAGAGCTGGAAGTATGCAATTAACATCGATTTGAGGGCGGCGCCCCTAGCTTAGCCACACGCACCGCACCGAGGCTGGCGGGTTCCAACCTGGCCCGGGCCTGCTAAACAACAATGACAACTG